CTGTCTTCAGCAAGCCTGGACAATTGTTCCCTGCTCCAGTCAATCACGGAAGAGTTTGTGAACAACCTGTGCTGCGAGTGAGTGAGTTGAACTGTGTTCTCAAAAAGACGAAACTGAGAAAACTAAGCTAAGCTAATGCTATAGCTAGCTCCATCGTGTCTGTGCTAATTACCTCGTCGAGAGTCACAAGGAAGCACACGGTGTTGCCACTGGAGATTCAGAACTGACCTGCGTGGGGAGACGACAGGGCAGTAGGATTCCATGTGCAGACGTCCTGTGTCCCTTGGATGGTAGGAACGAGGATTTTTTCTTTCAGACTGGTATGACTGTTAAAATGGTTTCGAGTGGACATAAGCTCCAACGCAAGCTTGCATAAAACTTTAAGAATGCACTCAGGTGGACTTTGTGGTTAAAACATCATTTCAAGGGTTTAAAATATTATTTCATATTTGAACTGGGTAAATTTGTGGTATATGTTTGTTTAATTAATACACAACCTTGAACTGTGTTTAGTGTGTGTGTTTATTGTTTCTACACTGTGAAACAGTCCCTGGAAAAATTGTCCATAAGTTACAAGTAACAAAGTACATATGTATTCTGAGTTATTTGAAGTAATATCATTTCTGGGAAATCTCCAATTGATGTTTTAAAGGTGAGGATCATACTGAACCCTAGACAAAGTTTCTTACATTGGAATGTCTCTTTTGCCAATTTGTTTTTTTGAGTTTAGAGGGGTATGCACTAAGTAACTATTCCCTTACTATAACGAGCCAGGGGGCAAAAGGGTTACACATGAAAGGAAGATTTTGCACAGTGGCAAAATCATAAAGCTCACCTCGATACACCATTCATATCACTTTCAGCCTCTTTGCTTGTTAAACTGATTGATACATCAGAACAGACACTGTGATAAGACAGTTTATGCTCCACCCAAGGTGATGACATTTGGTTGAAATCTTATATTTCTTTCTCACACAATGAAACAGCGAAAGAAATGGGAGGTGGGGGTTTTAATCTGGATTAGAGGCTTTAAAACATTGGCCCAGGGCCTGTTCTCTGGTGAATGCCATCTACTCTGTAGATGGTATTCAACTCAGCTATAACTGGGTTCACCATCTGGAGCAGAAAAACTTTGCTCTTAGCTGTGCTGTGAGAATGCAAGTGTGTTTGTCTTTTAATAGAACTGTACTTAATTTTCTCCTCAAATAAAATGTGAAAGTGACAGAACCATATTGTCCACCCAAGGACACCCCGCCCCCACCCCTTGGCAATTTGGGCCAAGGAGAACTTTTTCCCTTTTCTTTCTTTTGCTTCTTTTTTGTGTGTTGAGTTTGATTAGTTTTCACAATGAAATATTGTTCTGTTTTACAGATGTATTTTTGATGTGCCGTGCAGCCTTCTGGTATAAGACTAATGATGTTTTTCACCTTTACAGGAGACCCAGTTACCAAGCTTGGCTGAATTAGTAACTGAAGTATAAAACTGTATTTTGCAAAACCTCCTGGTGCCACTGCTGCCATTGATGTTGTTGTTAATGTCATTTTCCAGCGATATACACAAAATCCATGTAGCATACAGTGTTTATGAATTTAAATTTGAGTGCTGAATGAATGCCTCCCATTAAGATATCTATTTTGAGTAATTCCAGGGGCTTTCGTGGCCATTAAATGGTCACGCTGAGTCATTCAGTGTTGTCCTTTACGCTGAAACTCTCATTGTTCTGAAGACAGCAGATTCAAACCTTTAAAATGTTGCGAAGAGTAGAATTAATGAACAAGCATCATTGATAACAATGACAGTGTGTATGGTGAGGAAAGGTGTTAGAGAGTGAGAGGTGGATAGTCGAATTGCTTTCTCCAAATTTTGGTGTGTATGTCAATACTGATGTAGCGCTCTGTGCCTGCCTCACTGCAGCGTGGTGTTTAATTTATTGTAAAAATGGTAATTAGGAAACAATAAGACGTGTGATTACTCAAGCAGGAAGTTTATAATTAGAGAGAGAGCTGGTAGGGACATTCTGGGCGGCCCTGTGTTCTCAGACAACTATGCCTGGCAATTAAAACTTGTCAAACTTCTGTGGCAGATAAACTGTGGGAGTGTTGTTATGGTATGAATCTTCTTGGCAGAAGACTGTCTAAGGCTGTAAATCTCTGTGTCCAGTGTGGGCCCCACTGTAACCCGCTCACACACACACACACATGCAGGCACCCATGTGTAGAAATAGTCTGAGTAACAGACAATATTAGGTTTGTGATTAATGGATGGACGCCAAACTACCATGACACCAAAGATTAATCTATAATACAGTTAGAAAATAATGAGTATAGGAGAATGTGTGGTCTGTGACTAAGCCTCTTCATGTCAGTCATGCTGCTCTCTTATAAGTGATGCAAGTATTTTTAGCTAATTTAGACGCATGATTATTCAAAATGTCACTGCTAGTGGTTTTGGGCTTTATAACATGCTCAGTACGTAAACATGTGGGCTTTAGCTTGGTCCTTTGAGCATTGCAAGTCAGAGGGTAGAGCCATCACAGGTCCTGCTTTGTTTATGTGGAGAAAACAATAGTTTTTGCCCCATACACTAATGTATTTCTGTTGAATTAGATAACAGAAAATGTGATATCTTTGCTATATTCCCAGGGTCAGTGTGGGTCTCAGATAAAATGGATTTTGTGCATTTTACAGTTGTGATCCTGGTTTGGATTTTAATGCCCTCACAACAGATTCTTGTTTAAAGTGAACTGTAGTGCATTTAGAGTTTCATTTACACATGAATGTAAACCAAACCGACATGTGTATATGAAACCCCCCTTTAATTGTGTAACCACTGAGAAGTTGATTGTGTTCCCATGTAACACTGTTGTTTTGATTTTCAGCTCAGCTGAATGAAATTGATCGTGGACAAAAACTATGTAACTCAGGGTTACTCAATAACGGGCCTTGGGAAACGCACCTCTTTTGCACTGTAAATTTGCCAATGTGCTTATCAATAATGAAAACACATGCTGTCTACATGTGTAGTTGCCTTTTTCAGTAAGTGTGATACAATTCTATCAGCAGTAAATAAGCACTTGTGAATGTTTTAAATCCTCTCTGTGCATGTTGTGAGTATGAGTAAAAGAGTGCATCTTTTGACATTGTCTCTATTCTGTCACCGTTAATGCATGCCTGTACTTGTGCTCTTAGCCACTTGTTTATGTGTATGCGTACCTTCTTCCAAGCCTGAGCCAGTGTGTGGATATTGGCTGCAGCCAGAGATCTGGACTCATGTCAACAGGCTGTTGCCACACATCACTGCCCTTGCTAATTAATTGGCTTTTAGTCGCGGGTGTGTTGGTGTATTGTCAAGCTACCCATAGCCCCTGCTCTTGTTTTTTTTTTTTTTTTTTTTGCAGTGTGTAGGGTGTGAATAGACAAAAACAGGTACTGTGACAACAACAGCCATTTTGGATGCTCCTCCTTTCTCTTCCTCATCCTCTCTTCTTCCTTCTTTTCTATAGGAAAAAATACACCTGTCTTGTTAATATAATTCAACACAATTTTCCTTGTTTCATTATTTATTTTCGTGCTTATGCGTTTCCTTGTTCTGTTGGAAGATGAGGTGTTGGAAGATAACATCTGGGTAGATGTTTTTTTTTTCCCTGTGTACAGGGAAATAGACTAAAGTGCAATCTCTGCAAAGGTTGCATTGGCGAAAATAAGGTGAGTGGATGATGGAGGAGGAGGAGAAAATGTTTCACGTTCCTTATGATGTGCCTCTGTATTGCTGTTCTGGACTGAAAACAGTGTCTCTGCAAATTGCCTCTCACTCGGAGGCAAACAGTTCTGCTTTGTGTTACAAGAATATGAGAAAATTGAAAAAGTATTCAAAACAGTTTTATGGAAGCGCACATCATAAGGCTATTGTAGTGTGGATATAACAATGCAAATCTTGGAGGCTATAGAGTTTAATATCTGGACTGATGTGTTCCCACTGCTTTCTGCCATATTGCAAAGAGTGTGGTAAACTGCATGTTTTTAACTTTCCTCATTGTACATAAGTTCATTTTCTCTTACACTATAGTATTCTGATTGTGTGCAGAAAAATTGCATACAAGCGGTCTTGCAACTGTTTTGTTCGGTCTCTACTTGCTATAATCCATGCCTTATGAAATATTGAAAAAAACCCTGCAGCCACTGCTGGCTTCTGTATAGCTGATTTGCCTTCGTATCATGTTTTTCTTGTAAATGAACTCTGTAATGATGGCTTTAAAAACTGTTTAGAGACTTGCTGGCACAACCTAAGAAAAAGTCCTCACAAGAAGTTTTCCTTTGTTGCCAACTTGTTTAAGAAGCATAGCTACTAAGCAGGCAGGGGTTTCACATGTACCTCGCGTATCAAAACATTCGGTGGATCAATCATTTCATGTTTGTGCCAAAAGGGGTCTGCCATGGATACCTGTAATTTTTCACATTTAGTCTGACTTTCTGACTTGTGTTTTTTCTTCTTCTTCTTCTTCTTCTTCTTCTTCACTTTAGCTGTGAAACTGTCCTCTCTCCTCCTCCTCCTCTTCCTTTTCAAATGCCAGAACAGGAAAGCAGTTTGAGTGTCTGAGTCATGTCTAACCTTTACACATCTCTCTCCTTCTGTGTGTACCTTCTATCTGCCCAGTATCATGAACCGAGAGGAGGTGGCCTGGACAACACCCTGCCAGGGGATCACTCTGCCTGTCTACGTGCCAACGTCTGTGCTCTGTTTCCCGGCGTGGCTTTGGCTCTGGTCCTGGCCCAGCATGCCTTATAAACCCGCCAGGAGGAGAGAAAAAAAAGAGGTCATCCACCCACAGGCTGATCCCAAAAGCAGAAGGTGTTATTTCTGAGACTGATATTAAGAAGGTTGAATCTCTGGACAAACATAAATGGCACTTATAAAAGAGGAAAAACTAAAGGAGGAGAGAGGTTGAAAATATTGAAATTTTACAACTGTGAATTTGTTGTTCATTTGATATAGCGTTAGGGCAGCCCGCAGCTGTCATGGAGCACACGGCTTTAGGAAGGACCCTTGGTAGGAGAGGCCATGAAGGCCATTCTATAGAAATGACTCTCCCTCTGACTCAGACCAATCCTGGGGGACTGAAGCTGATCATGTCAAAGACTCCTGCGGTTTTCTCACCAAAAGGAGGGAGAGAGGGAATGAACAACATAATTAAAAGAAGACAAGATTGGCAGAGAAGGAATTGTTAGAGAGAAAAGGCATGAGCATGTGGTAGAGTGAAAGCAAAAAAAAAGAAAGAGAAAGAAAGACATTTCTGCTATCAGTCACTTCTTTTTTTGTCTTGAATTGAGTCTCAACTTAATCTTCTCTTGGATGAACAGACCACAGATTTAGGGGCTGGGATGGGGGATGATCACATTCTGTCTCTTCAACACTAGTGTAAACTCTAAACTGTAAAGCTTACTCGGTGTTCTACGTGTCGGTATAGTATCCGTGACCATAATCAATCTACTGTGCGGCTCTCTCTCTCTCTCTCATTTGGGTGCTACAGCATACTTTATTGGGAGGTGGCGAAAAGAACTCCAGACAGCAACGTTAACAGTTAATGGTTCTTTGGTCATTTGAGATGTTGTTGATGATGATTGCGGGTGTTCGCAGTACGTCCACCTGCAAATGTGTATATTTCTGTCTTTATGTATATAAACAACATTTTTCTTTCATTCAACCTAATGATATCAACAGTATGTTGACTGAACATTACTGTACGCTAAGATGACTCTGTCCTCAGTATTGATATGAATGGATGGTCTTCATTATCTTCATCTATATTTGTCTATAAAAGATTAATCACAAAGAATGTATAGAAGGATGTGAGATTAAACGACCCTAAACTGCTTGGAAAGCCATAACCTACTGTATGTATCATACTGTGCTCACTGAGTGTGTATGGACAGTTATTACAATACAGCATGTGTGCATTTATGTTTACATGTGAAAAGTAGCTTATAAGGAGTTGTTTAAATTGCCAGGCTGGGGGTTCATATGGCCCCTCAGAGAGCAGAAGTTATGATGCATAGTTTAATTAACTGGTTGGGTTTTGAGAGTAAGGCCACCAGGTTTGGACAGTGCTTGTGTGTGTGTGTGTGTGTGTGTGTGTGTGTGTGTGTGTGTGCGCCCCATACAAAGGAACCTTTTGTTCTATTGCTCTTCATTTAACAGGATATTTTAAAAGTTCCATATTGTAGGAATACAAGAATGCATTCAATTCACATACATATATGAAGATCTCCATTGACTGAAAAATATAATGTCGAAAAAACATGAAACTGTCTTTCATGAAGTATTTTGTCCGTAGTTTTTATGAAGCTGGCTTCAAAACAATGTGGTCGTGCAAATGCAAAATCAATAAAATAATAGTTTTGCTGAATTTTTTTGTAAATATTGTTGACAGTTAGATGTGAACACTAAAAGCACTCTCAGGTCTGTCCCTCTGCACCAAATGTGAAGCCACTGCCAGCAGCCTTTAGCTCAGGTTCAAGCCTAGAAACCAGGAGAAACAGCTGCTGTGACTCCAAGGTAACAACATGTGACTAGCAGTGTCTCCCAGTCTTGCTAATTAACACATAATTATTATTTGTTTAAAATGTACAAAATATATCTTTAAAAAGTTTATATGCTTTGCTTTTAAGGGATCACGTCAGATGATTTCTCTTTAGAGAGAACCCCTGTGTCCTGTCTTTGGGCGCATTGTTTTGAAGTTAGTGGTTCAGTCTTTTTACTATATATACATATATATATATATATATATATGATCCATTATAGAGGACAAAACCCAGTCCTTGTTCCAGTCCTCTGGGTTATTCCTTCAGTATGTTACTATCCCTTCTCCTCAGCTCAGCAGTCACAATACAAAGATACAGAAAGGGAATTTCCTACTCCAAAAACTTTGGCCCCTATCTTGCAGAGAGCTCTTCACAGCCACTGTGGACAGCGACCAGTGACCGTTTAAAAGAACATTTGGGCATGTGACTGCTATAATAAAACTCTTAAGCTATCTTAAAAAAAAAAAAACTCAACCAGTTGACCAGAAATCGGTCCACACAGGGACATTTGTAGCCTTTGAACTGGAAAGTCTCCATTGAGCAGATTTCACTAGTTTGAACTAAAGAAAATGTCAACTTCAGCAAATCGGTGTCTGCTGTTGAGGCGCCCTCTGAGTCATTCAGTGCGCTTGATACGGTCACACTTCCAACTGAAACATTTACTTGCAAAACAGCATGAACAGTTTTATATTTATTCTAGACTACAATATATTTCCTAGTGGTGGAAGAAGTACTCAGATTCTTAAGTAAAAGTAGCAATACTGCAGTATAAAAACACTGTTATGAGTAAAGGTCCTGCATAAAAATGTTGCTTAAGTGAAAGTACAAAAGTATTAGCATCAAAATATACTTAAAGAACCAAATGTAAATGTACTCATTATGCAGAATAGCACATTACATATGAGTGCTTATCATATTATTGGATTATAATTATTGGTGCATTACTGTGTACATCACATCTAATGTTGCAATTAGATGCAATTAATTTTAACTAGCTAATGTGCTTATAATTTGCAGGAATCAACAAAGTTCTGTCATTACAATGTGCGTAGTTTTATTAATCTGATTATGAGAAGTAACTAAAGTGATGAAATTAATGTAGTGGAGTAAAAAAGTACAATGTTTGACTCTGAAATGTAGTGAAGTCAAAGTATGAAGTAGCAGAAAGTGAAAATACTCAAGTGAAGTACAGATACCACAAGATTGTATTTAAGTACAGTATTTGAGTAAATGTACTTAGTTACTTTCCATCACTGATATTTGCGAACAAGAACAGGCAGGCTGAATAATACAGGATTTTATATTAGACAAGTTTTCACTGTACACTAAGAATAATACGTCACCCATGGATACTGCATCTGCTTTCGAAATATACTCTGACATGCTGAAAAATTATTGAAACTTTTACTGGCATGTTTGCAAATGAAAGATATATTTTTGTACATTTATGCATCCATAATTTTTCCCTTGCAGTGAATGATTACTGACTGTTACCTCACAATTGGCATTTCCACTGAAATGTTTATGTCTTCAGGCGGAACATTATAGTACAGGCTGTGCCACGTAAACGCCTGCTACTGAACCAAGCAGCTTTATGTTACCAGCTCATTTAGAAAAGCTTTACAAACTGTCATGGGAACAGATGTAAAATTAAATCCCTGCTCACTGTGTTTTTGTTAACTGTGGTTGCACCGTATACAGCGTGGTCAGATCTGGCAGAAATCACAGTGATTTCCTAAGCTGTCCTGTTGCTACGAAAATGTCAAACATTTGAATAGAGTATTTATAATTTTTCATTGTGAGCTCTATGTTCAGTGCATTCACACGGTGACAGTTTGATGTTTTGCTGCTGTTGTGGATGTCAAAAGATACAGTGATTCTCTGAGGTAAAAAATACAAACGGTTCCATTTTATACTATTTATTACCAGTCCAATAGCAAATAATTACATACTTGTAATATCAGTCATCATTTCAAAAAAGTCAGTATTTTAAATGAAATAATTATACGGACTGTGTTAGTAATTTTGTGCTTGCTGTCAGAAGTAAATCTATAACCCACACACATCTCAAGCATGTCTCGTTTTATTAGATATTTGTGCTAGTGATCAGATGTTACTAGCAATGCTGCAGTCCTTTTCACATACAAGGTTTACAAGGTGCTCTAAATTACTCTCAAGATATACAATTCATGATTTAGAGATGTGGTTGTCTAACTGGAAAAAAAAACCCAGCTCAAACAAATCTACCTAATCATCTAAAACATATCTACTATGTCAACAGTAAATGTCAGACTGAATGTCTGAGAATTAGAAAGCCAGAGTTTCTTATCTTATATCAACGTTAAACTATTTCAGAACGCGAAATCCATCAAGGACAAAGCAGAGCTGTCAATTCTTCAGCGAGAACAGCCTTGGTAGTGCATAATGCAATATGGCCATGATATAGTGCAGACCCCATCACAGACTCAACCAAGTGCTCGAGATTTTTCCCCAACACAGATGTGGCTCCTTTTTATAGCATTAAAACCTCATTATTTTGATGTGCCTACATTGTCACAGTAAATTACAGATATGGCATATTTGAGCTTATTATAGCAACATGTGTTTGTCCAGTTTGACATTTGGACCATTCTTTACCAGCGGTCACTTACACCTCTACGTGACTGAATAATTTAGGGCTCAGAGGAAGCTACAGCAGGATTATTACTGGGAGAGCTTCAAATACAAACAGACAGCAGCATTTGTACCTGGACGATAACAAGAATTTGGTGATGTTTCTGGGTTACCAGCTGTGAGAGGTAACTGACTGATGTTTCATGTTCAATCCATTTGACAACATAGGATGTTTTGTTTTGGCTTTCATGCTACAAACAGAGCTCTTCTTGTCTCCGCAGTGTGCCATAAAAGTAAATCACAGCATTTATCTCTTAGCTGTATATACTGTTCCATAAATGCAACATGAAAGTGAACTTCTGACCTGACTTTTATATTTTTTCAACTGTTCAAGCAGAAAATGTACAGCTTTGGGCTTCGTGTCTAAGCAGCCGTCACTTGAACAAAGCTGTCGACACCCTGTAGCCTATTAATCAAACCTTGATTTGATCAGTTTCTCACTTACTTTTCATAAAAATTGATGACACACTGCAAGCGATTATACAGCCAGCTTCCCATAAAGGCGATCAAAACTGGCAGATGCATTAAGAGTTCTGACATGTAGACAATGCAGATAAACCGATCAAAATTCAAGCCTCCCCTTGCTTCATGTCCCCTTCCCTGGAGTGGGTCTGAGTTTGGGGTGAAAAACAAAGCAGATCAGCAGTTCTTACACAGCTTAAGAGAATGTACTGTATTTGCAGGAGACCTACACAACACAGCACAATTTAGAAATGTATCATGAATGTTATGACAGATATTGCTCTACCTGCAGGAGCGCAGCGGTGGGACAGCTAGAAAAGAGACAGAATAAAGTGCTTTTATGGGGGAAAAGGTGAATGCTGGCAGCTGGTTTTGCATGTTAGATGTAAAGCCAAAATGATATGGTTGTCTGCATGAGCATAATTTAAGCTACTGAGACAGAATGCGTAGGACACATGTCAGTGTGTGTACAACAAAATGCTCAGATACACAACTTTAAAGCACAGTTGCAGAGTGTTTGGTGCTCCTGATGTCTTGTGCCCATGTACACCAGTGG